CTCCGGCCGCCGCTCCGGCCGCCGGCCCCGGCCCGGGCCCCGCACGGCTCCCCGCCGCCGCCCGCTCGCACCGGCTCTGCTGCCCGGCCCGCGCCGCCCCCCCGCGCTCACAGCCGGGCTCTCCGCCGCACCGGGGCGGAGCCGCCCACACGCCGTTCCTGAGCCTGCAGCGACACCGTGCGCTGCTCCGCCGCCTCACACGCTCCGACACCGCGCCTCTGCCTCCGCTCCCTCATGGCCGTCTCCTCTGCTGCTTCGTACAGGGCTCCTTTATACTTTATCCTTTGGAATTTTCCGATGCTCTCTTCTCATCTCTTCTGGTATCTCGCCAGCCGCCTCCGGCGCCGCGGTCCAAACAAAATTATTCGGATCCACCAATTCTAATTCCGTGGTATCAGCGCTGGAACGCAGTATTCTAAACCGAGCCGGAACCTGTTGACAACCAGCTCCGACCAGCACTTTGAGGCAACGTCCGTGCGTAATCCTGTTTTAAATTTCTTCTCTTTGTCATCCTCCATTCTTAATTACCTCATTGTGCCATTATTTCGTAGAATGTTTTGTATAGTTTTCTTTCTCTTCTTCATTTCCTTATTTTTTTCTCCCCTTTGTTGCCTTCTTCAGTTCTTCTGTGTACTAGTAGTATCGGTGACATGCCAGTAAAGCCATTTATAGATTGTCCCTTTCTCTCTCTCTTCTACTCATACTTTCTTCTTTCCTTCTCTTTTTCTATATGCATCCTGCTTCCTTCTCTGCACTCTTCTAGCTTTCAATTTGCCTTCATTTCCACCCTCTGTTCACTTTTCCCTTACCAGGAAGGGAATTGTCTTACCATCTCTTCAAAATCTTTGATATCGAGTAGCAATATATTCTTTAGAAAAAGCTCTAATTCCTCTTCCCTTCTGACTTCAAAGAAGTGTTCAGACAAGGCTCAGCAGCATGTCCCAAATTTCAAAAAGTTTCTTACAGGAAAAACCATATTCCACATCAAAACCATGTAGTTAAAGGCATGCAGGGCAGATGTCTTCACAAGCAGCAATACCAGAAAGAACAACAGTACCCTAAGATATGCAGAACTTCTGGATGCCCTGGTAGGATTCCAGAAGAGCAGCAATGTATAGTGAGATCTCCCTCCTGATATTCTATTGTGATCCTGTATCTTGCACCTTGGGAACTGGGATCTCCACAGTTAAGCAGCAAGTCTCTATTCCCACCCCAAACCCCAAAGACGTACTCAAATTCTCTCCCATGGCTGGCACAAATACACAGAGTGCTGCAAATCCATTCTGTGACTCTTTGACTTTTCCCTCATGCCCGGATGCTTTGTACCTTTTCAGCAATAGCAGATAGAAAATGAGTTATTAAATGTCCTGTGATTAGACACGTGAACAATACTGATCCAAATCCCCACAGATCTTCTTCAAGAGATCACACCAAAAGCACAAGTGCACTCAAAATGTTAAATATGTGAGACAATTTCAAGATAAGAAAGCCAGAGCTGGGCAGCTCTGTAGATGTGGAGGATTGGTGTGCACATCCAGACACCAGAATAAGCCATGTGTGATAACAGGACACACCATCTCTACCCAGATTGACCATGCAGGAGCACAGGAAGGGGAAGAAAAGCACCAGATTAAACCCATCTCTTCAACTGACCTTAAAAATTATCTCTGATGAGATGAAGCAAAGGTCCACCATGCCAAGAGCTGTGGAAGCTGCTATAAATGCTCTACAGTACACATGGAAAGCAATTTGTATTGCCACCCTCCCACAACAACACTCCCAAAACAGCAGTAAAAATGTTCATCAGTCTCCATGAATTGTCACCCAACGCATTCCACATGTCAGGCCAGAGGCAGCACTAGGGACTGTCTCTGACGGGAGATATTCATAAACCCAAAGGACTCTGTGGCCATTTCAATACCAGATATTGTCTCATGATGCAGAGGGTTTGCAACACCAGACTCTTGGAACATATAAACGATCCTGGGCAGAAACAGTCTGGGCCCATCCTGCCTCCTGCTTTCCTCTAAGCATCCTCCATCCCCAGTCTGTAACAATTATTCTCCAGAAAAGGGTATCATTCCCATTC